TCTAATTTGTACTCTAGTGTTACAGATTAACAAGAATTTAGAAATCTACTAATTTAAGTAATAATATCTAATTTGTAAATAAATATATGATATAAAATATATAATAATAAAATATAAAATAAGTAATAAAAGTAGAGATAACACTATATATAATAAATAACAATCTATGGATAATCATCTTGTGATGTAGTAACTATTGTGCTCCCTTTCTTTAATCTTTGAGATGATGTTATTGTACCATGATACAGCAGAGATAGGTTAGTAATTATTAAATTACACAAAAGTAATAAAGTTTCTATAAATTTATATACAACCCTTCTATCTGAAAATTGTACTAGGATTTCAACAGACCGGAGATAATAATATCAATGTACATTAATCATATCTCAAACAAGTAAATTTAAATGTAACTCATTACCTGCCATTTGTACATCTACAATGTTAAATTGATCTTTATTCAGTTTAAGAGTCTGATATATCCAAAAAAGTTCATCATTACATTCTCTCTATAATTTAACATCATCATTGATCTTTTTTTGAGCAGTACAAATTAAGTGAAAACATTCAACATACATAAGTTCAAAAATTGTTTTCCAGTATTTTGCCACAAACATGATATCTGGACTATACTTGTACAAAAAATTATTTTGAGGTCCCAAAATTGCAATTTCAGGGGAAAAAGTCAAAATAGTTTTTCATAGAAGACAAAATTATTTTACTTAAAACCTGAAATTTTTTGACCCCCAGATTTATTCTTTGATTGAATACACATATAAATGGATACTTTTTTACTTCTATATATAGAATAGATTCTGCATAAATCTTAAAAAGTTGAAATATCTCAAAAATCTAAAATCAATTTTGAAAACATGTATAATCTGGATGTTATCCCATAAATCCATTTCCTTTTCTATTAGCACTGGCAACATTTTGTTTTTTTGATGTACTAATGAAAAAGGAATCACCAATAGGAAGATTTTTTAACAAAGTCCAAATTGTTGGTAATATAATAATTAATTGATATGTCCCCTTATTTAATGTTTTTGCAAATTCAGAACTGAAAGCAGAGTTGTTCCAAATGTCTTTTAAAACACCAAGAATTTCTTTAGTTACATCTGTAATACTTTCTTCAGACTCTTTCCAAGTTTCATCATAAGCTAATTTAGTATATATTGATCTATCTTCAAGTTTATTAAAATCTATTACAAACTTGTTGCACATTTTCTGAACAATGGTAAAAGATTTGGGTATTATTTTATGAGTAAGTTTCTGGTTTGACAAGTCAAGTTTTGGAGAAATATATATTATATACCATCAATGAATAAATTATATTTATTTATAGCTACTTTTGTAAGTGTGAAGAAAGTTCTAGCTTATAAAGCAAAATTTTGTCATTATCCATTTAGTCACATGAGTTCTTTATTTCTCTGTTCTGAATTTGATAGATAATAAATCACTATAATTTTTACTTTCATTTTTTTTAAATGCTAAACCTAAAAAATTTCCCTCATAATTTTTAGTTCTATAAATATGTTTATTCCATTTTTTTTTAATCATAATTTCCACTCCTGAACCATTTGTTTGTTTTCCATTGGTCCAAATATATGTATATTTTTTTAGCAAACATTTTTTGTTTCATTGATTAAATCATTTAAGATGTATCTGCAATTTTCTTCTTTTGCTCATGTTTCAGTTAGCCCTATTATATCAAATTCTTTTTCTATACAGTTATTCAACCAATCCATTTGTTTAGCTATACTTATTATTCCCTTAATATTTTGAGTAGCTATTCTCATAAATTTATTATTATTATTTTCTTTTTCTATATCTACTGTATTGTTATTCATATTAATGTCCAAGTTTGATATTTGATTATTATTGTTGTTGTTAATTTCACTAATTAGATCCTTGTTATTTTTTGTTTTTTCATTATTTTTACTATTTTTTTTTGATTTTTTATTATTTTCTGATGCATTATATGATATGTCATTTATGTTTAAATGTTTATTATTTGTATTGTTTATATTATTATTTTTTGAAGTTTGTTCACTTTCTATTATTTTAGTAGTATGATTATTTATTTTATTATGATTCTTTATCATATTAAAATTATTTATTATATGTTTGTTCATTTAATAGGAAATACTTCTTATATTGTCCTGTTGTTTAGATAGATTAGACATATTTCCATACTTTCTAATCTTTTTTGTGTCTCAAACATTAGATTGTTTTAACTCTGGTATTAAATTTGCTAACATTGTAACATTATCTGCTATTGGTCTATTTTTGTTACTTGTTTTTCTTTGGTTCTTATATTTTCAGTAGTTGCATTAGACACTTCTTTCACAGTATTATCTAAATCTCCATCTTCCTCCATTACTTCATAAAAAGCTTATTTTTTCACATATTTTTCAATGGCTTGGACTTTCTCTTCCATGTCATTGTTGTGTTGCTTAATATCTAATATATCTTGTTTTATGTTTTGAAGTGTTTCCAATATGGCTTTCAAAATGTTTTCTTGGTTACTGTCCCCTTCCTTATTTTCTTTATTCCTGTTCACATTTCTTTTAACAGCATCAGATATCCTGTACCTAGATCTATATGATCCTTTAAATTTTTGTACAATTTGGTCTATTAATTTTGTACATGCAACCATATTTCTCAAAATCTTTTATTTTTTATTCATTTATTTCTTTTTTTCTTGCTGCAACTGGACATTCAAATACCAAATAATCTTCTGCATGACATCAATGACATGTTTTTGTTGGTGTATCTACTATTTAAGCTTTAAATCACCAGCTTCCCAGGCTTGTTCCATGATTTTTACTTTTTCTTCTGCACTTTCTAATGTTGCAATTGTCATTCTTTTCTTTTTTCCATATAAATTTCTTGGAAAATAACAAGTTTTTGCTTCCATTTGTGCTACAATTATATATAATTTATGTGATGATATATCATTATGTAAATTAATTATTTTAACTGCATGCTCTCTCCTTTTTTTTTAATTCTGTAAATGTCATGCTAGGGATTGACACTCTGCATGATTCTTCTATTATTTGGAACCAATCTGCCAAATATGATCTGCAATAGCACAATCTTCAAAATGTGCAATTGCTGATGATCGCACGCCTCTTGTAGAAATTGTACATGATACTACTTTTCCAAATTGGCAATTAAGCATGTTTTAAATTTCTGTTCACACATGCTTACCGGAATATCCAAAATTTGAACTATTCTCTTTATTGATACTTTTATTTTGAGTTACTATGACTCTAACTAAATTGGATATTTCATTTTCTTTGTTTCCCTCAATTTCAATTTTACATGCTCTTTCAACATCCTTCTCTTTTCCAAAATAAACTGCAATGTATAATTTCCAGTCTTCATGGTTCTTTTCAGTTCTAATTGTTATGATATTTTTATATAATATTTTAGTAATATTTTGGATTTTCTCCCCAATATTATTCCCTTAACTGCTGATTTTTTAATCCAAGCTTTATACTTCTTCATTTCCACTTGTTTTCTCCATGCTTTATGTTTACTCAGAAAGCAATTTACTATTGCCACTGACTCATTATCACTTGTTGCTTCTTCTTCATCTGTTTTTCCATCATTAGTTTTTCTCTACTTTTTCCTTTAACAATTTTAATTGTATTTTCTTTGTTGTTTTCATTGTCTAATAAAGCTTCAGTCTCCATATTTGCATTTGCTTCTTGGCTTTGTTCATTGTTATTGTTGTTCATCATTGTATCTTCATTGTTGTTATATGATGTTCCTTCTCCAGGGTTTAAATAATTGTAGCCTGATTGAACTAAATTTTTTAAGCTTAAAGAACTAAAAGCTGCTCCTCCACTTTTTTCAACTTTTCCACTGGTTTTCCCAATGTTAACTACTTATTTCTTTTTAGTTCCATAATTTGCTGTGCTCCATCTAGGACATATATTTTGTTTGAACAAGTTACCATTCGTGTTTACTATTGTTTTCACTGACAGGATGACTCAAAAGAATTTTCTCTTCCTTGAAAATTTATGTAAAAATGATCACTGGAAAGAGTTGTTTCACTTTCAAAGGCTTATAACTTTTACTGTAAACTTTTAATTAAAAATCTGACTGGTATTTTAATAGAGCATGCCATAAAGAACAAAGTTACTAGTTTACTTTTTTAGATTTTTCCTTTTAAGATGTTGATAATTTTAAAGTGATACAATTTTTATTGTCAAGTATAGACTTCCAGCACCATATTTGTTATTTTAATTTTTTTTTTATTAAACCGAATGAATAATAATAAATAATAATAATAATGTAACATAATGTAAAAAATAATATTTTAAAAAATAAGGTTTAAAATCTGATATTTGAAGCTAATGATTTTAAAAGAAAAATTTTATAGTAAATTATACAAAATCATAAAAAAAATTATAACTCATATTTGATTGAGTAAACTATCTTAAAAAGTGTATGAACTTTATATCAGTAATAATACTGTTAATTTATGAGAGGAAAAAATAAAATGTTAGTCTGAAGAGATTCGGGAGTTGAATATGGAGATTCAGGTGGAACAAATGGATATAGTGGATATCGGAGTAAGATTGTGGAAAGTTTCCGTGATGATTGAATGCCAGAAAATGCATGTGATATAAAATTATTTAATAAATATGATTGAGTTCGAACATGCCAGTTGAGTTGAGATTTTCTCTATAAATTTAGGTTTCATTTCAATTAATTCGTTTTTTCGTTGTTAATAATTTTTTTGATTTTCGCTTTTTCGCATATCTATAAAAAATTTTGAGAATATCGAAGTTAAGAATATAATCATTATGAAATACTTTTTAAGAAATTATTAAATAATAATTTATATTTACTTTTGTATAATTCCATCTTTTCCATATCTTTCTTTGAACAACTGACTCGCTTGCATAGACAAGTCATGATAAAAATCCTTTATTCCTTGAGGTTCATTGCGCCATTTTTCAGAAATATAACGAGAGATTGACGTTTGTTCATTTTTCCGTCCAATTCCGCCCAAACACATGGTATACCATTTTCTGTATATAAAGAATTTATTAGGTACTTTAACTTTACCACATCTCTCATTTCTGGGTCTTATTAGGTCTTCTGCAGATAAATTTGGCGGGAATGGGACATCAACAAGACACACGATATCTTTATTTGCTTTAGAATTTCGATGAAGTTTTTTAGTTCTCGTATCATCAGTTTCAAAAATGAAATCAAATGTATTATCTTTCGGTTGTTGAATAACTTTATATGTAATTTGGTAAGGATCCATATCGAAATTTGATAACTGTTCAAACATAGTTTCTAAAATTTAATTTTTTTTATAGACGGTCGGTTTATCATAAACAATAATAAATGGGAAGATTTTACAGCGCTTTAAAAATGTCGATTTATGTATTTGTACATGATCGTCGACACTATTAATAACACAAATAATGCTGCAGCCTCAACGGAATTAGAAAAAAAAATATGGACTGTTATAATAATTTTTTTTATACCGAGGTTTATGTTATAATAAAAATTATGTAAAACTGTTCTACACTTCTTATTGTCTTTGGTAGTAATAACTGCAACGCCCATTACTTATTTAAGTCAATGCATAATAATAGTCTTAGAATTCCAAAAAAGATAAAACCCATAAGGCTCTATAAAATAATTGGTATTAAAAAGAAAATGATTTTTTATGAACTAATTTTACTATTGATTCTTATTATAATCATGGTTACATAAGTCGATACTCGAATTTAATTTTTCCTACCCTATCGATTATGCAACACCATGACAGTTTTTTTTTTAATAAAGAATTGGGTTAAAATATTTCTAAATTCAGGTCAAGACATTTGTCATATAAAAAGAGTCCACAGGGTCGCTCAGATTTTCAATTACTTAGGACAGTTGCTAAAGTTACTATGTTGATAAAAAAAAATTGATAATCTAATTCGAGAGAAAATATACATTTACCCTTACACCATCCGGATAATTTTGAATCTTCATGGATAAATTTCCTTAAGAAATAATTCTTGTTTTGTTTTCTCTGTCTGGTGGGGAATAATTTAATAATATTATTCATCAGCATTTTAAACACTTATATTAAATGATAATGATAGTATTATACAGTGATTGGACTACAGAAGAGACCGATTATCTGAAGTAGAAAGTTAGTTCCAGTAGTGAAATGGTTAAACCAAATTTCGGAGGTTACAATAATAAAATTTTTTGAAGACTATCCAATACTACGAGTAATATTTAAGTAGTAAAAGTAATAGCAATATCATCACGTAGCTCATATAATAATCCAACTTAGAAAATAAAGAAAATAAAGAAAATAAATATAAATTTATTGTCACCATTAGAAGAAACTCTTCCTCCTCTCCTGAGGATGATGATATAACCGAGACGACTTGTTATTATTATTATTAGAAAAAAATAAAATAAATATCGCATCATTATTTTTATTTTTTTATATTTAATAATTGAAATTATTATGCTACTATTTTTGCTACTTAAATTAATATTTATGACAAAAATTGATACTACTTTTATTATCTGCCAATGAGTAGTAGTTCGGAGGAAGAAAAAGTAAATACAGAATCGAATTTCGAAGTAGCAGCGTCACAATTATTTCTAATCGATGTTTAATACATCCTGAGTAAGATGCTACTCGATTAATATTTCCAAATGAACGTGAATTAAGTATTTTATTGGATGTAGTTTTTGGAGCAAGTTGATCCATCTAAAAAAATAATATATTTCATTATATTCTAACATTAGGATCTTAACCTCAACACGTTAAATAGGCATCATCCATACAAAACACACATTTACATTTTTCTTTGTAATTTTATCATCGTACACCATCTCACTCGACATAAATTGTTCATAATACTCTCGAAAACTGGGCAGACGCTTAGTATTGTAAATTTTTGTAATAAAAATAAAAATCTAATTCCCGCTAAGAAAAATTTTCAGAATTTAAAAAAAAAATGGTTTTCAATTATCCCAACCAGAGGTGCAGATATCGATTAGTTACTAAGGGTTGCCTGCCGTAATAGGTTTTACAAAGTTGAAAGGTTGATAATTTTGCTGTAATTACAAAAAAGATTGTAATATAATGTTTGCAATAGTTGTAATGTTCGTAGTAGTTGTAATGTTCGTAAAGTTGTAAGGTTCCTGACAGTTTATAAAAAAATCGTCTTTGTGTTACTTGGTCAGAATTATGTAGTGGCAGGCCAATATAACGTGTCACGCGAGTGCAGACGAAAATTTTTTTTTTTTGAATATTTACTCACCCAGAAAATAAATCATATATTTAAAACTGGCTGCAATTAAATTTTCTGGTAACAATATCGCTAACATAATAATCCTCATCAGCTTCCATGGTATGTTAAGGTTCATTTACAGTACATCTGATTCTTCTGCCTTATTATTATTATTATTAACAATATTATAACTACACAAAGTATTAAAAATAAAAACGATTTTTCATTATTGGTATGGGGGGAGGTTAAAGCGGAGCAGGATTTAGTTAGGGTTAAGGTTACTTTTTTGATGCATTTAGGTTATTTTATATATAGATATCAAGAATACGATTTATGCAATATGTAGATCATATATTGAATTAACTCCTCTTTAACCGACCCCTATTTGACTTCTAAAAAAAAATTTTTTTATTTATTTATATTTAAAAAATAAAATTAGAATATTTTTATTTAAAGTTTGTGTACTACATCCTAATAAACCTAATTGCTAAACAATTAAATTACTTACAATACAACGTTTAGAAAATAGTTGATATTTAGGTTTCAACCTAGCTAGGTTGTAATGCGTATGCCCTTAATTATTACTCACGGTCAGCAACTCTACATGAGACGTAAATTAAATAAAAATGAAAGTTTATTTCTATTTAGTTGTTTTCACAATTTTGTTTATAATGATAAGTCATGTATTTCAGAATTTTAGAGTAGCCTTCATATTTTTTTATTTATTTTTTATTTTGGCGTTTAAGACAAGTTGGAAACAAGCATATGGAGCATTATATTATTTTCAGCAAAATATCTTACGTTAATAAAGTTTCTTAAGCGTATAATTACTATTCCTCTTGCAATTTAATGATTTTTCTTTTACCGTTTTTTTAGATTGTAGTGTTTGGTTTATCAAAATAATTTTACAAATATCCATTTCAGTATGCATAAACTTTCAATTGATTTGTATGTAATATATAGATTAATAAAAGTTCTTCGCAGTGCCAGCAAAAAAATCTATGTAGTCGTTTAATTACCAATTTAACAATGCATCATCCGCAACTAAAACTTTTTTTATTGGCCTTTATTCTGATATCTTATATTGTGACTGTTGTTGTTGAAATTGTTAAAGTGGAAACCAAGAAGTAATGAAAAGAGTTCCTCCACCGAATTCGACTTATAAAATACTGGTTTCAGATTTATGGCGTTGAATGTCTAATATTTGTTTGGGTTTTTCGACGTTAAAAAATTCCAAGTTCCGGTTTAAATTCTTGTATAACATCTATTTAAAATTCATCTACTTTATTTCACAAATTGAATAATGATTTTAATTAATATTGGAGCAAGACTCTGTTGGATTTAAAAAAAAAATGATTTTAATTAACTCTAATGTCCGACTTAACTTTAAATTATGATCTCATGTTTGTAATACTAATCAAAAATAAAGAATAAATTCCCTTATTATTTTTTACCCAAAAATATAAAAGTGTAACCGATTCTACATTCATTACCATTATTAGATTTAGATATAATGAATCAAATGAATCAATTGAATCGTGTGAAATTGGCTTGGCCTTTGCAATAGAGTATTTTTTTTTTGTTAGTTCACCTTTTACAAATTTAAAAATGGTTTCGTTTGGGAATATAATTTTTTATATTACATTATTAATTAATTCATTTTCGTGCCATATACCTGAAAATCGGATTGCCCATAATAGTGTAATAGTTCGTGAGCGATTTGGTGGATGGAGATATTCAACAAATGTAACTAAAATATACTCAACTTCTGAAATTTTTTCTTTAGATTTGTCAACAAAGTTTTCTCGCGTAAATACACAATGGGATTTATTCCTGGAAGGAAACATTCCAGTATATGAGTATCTTTCAACTGCATTAGTTAGTACACTAGATAATGAAACAATTTATCTAATTGGAGGTTTCATGACAAATATTACTACCGGGGAATATGATTATTCAAATTTAGTATATATGTATAATTATTCATCTACTAATGGTCTCCTGTAAAAGTCAATAATGTTAAACCCAGATAGGAAATAACGGGAGTAATTGATGACAAAGGGGTATCTATTTTTTTGGTGGGAATAATTATACTAATTATAATTATATGGAACCAGAAGGACGAATTTTAAATGATATGCAAATACTTAATGTTTCCTCAACAGTTTGGTCAAAATTAAATATATTTGATAATCTTCCTTTACCATGCAGTGCATATACAGCTAATCTTTTAAAGAATGGAATTATTTTTTATCTTGGAGGATATGAGACAGATGATTCAGGAAATTTCACAAGTCTTTCGAATTTGACTCTTTCAAGCATGAATACAGTGAGTGATAAATGATAAGTTATAATTATTTAATAATTAAAATTATTATTGTTAATTTATAAATTTTTTACTATTTCAAAATAATCAAAAAGATTAAACTCTTTGATACAAAAAAATCAGAGTGGTCACAAATGGTATGCATCAATTTATTCATATTAGTATAAATTAATATTATAATCTAATAATTTTTTTAATTCAAGAATGTTACTGGAGGAAATGCTATAGAACCAAGAATATATCATTCTTCTGTATTATGTAAGTATTATAAATTGTAAGATTTTTAAAATGCAATAATTAAGAATCTTTAAGATTATTTTCAATACCAAAATATTTTACGCAGCTCCAGGTGGGTATATTATTTTATTTGGAGGTGTTGGAGCATATAATGAAAAAGTTCGTCCAAAACTTACATTATTAGATATAAAAAAGGATATTTATAAATGGACAATTCCATCATCATATTCATCCCCTCCACTCTTATTTGGACATTCTGCAAATATTTATGGAAGCTATATGATAGTTACATTTGGTATGTCAAATTTATTATTATTAATGTAATTTTCTTATTGAATATATATATTACTAAACAATTATTTTATAATCAAATTAATTTTTATAGGATTTGATAAGGATAATTTAGTTATGAATACCCGAATATATTTTTTTTTAATTTACATGCTCTCAGGTGGGACGATACGTTTTTTCCTAAGGGCTATATATTTAAAACTGATCAGGACGAAAACAACGGATTCCAGAAACAAAACGGGTTCTCTTCAGCAGCTTTAGGTACGTTGCTTGCAGTAGGAGGACTTTTTCTATTTATTTTGGCTTCAGTAGGAATTACCCATCTCAAGGATTACAAAAAAAAAAAACGAGCTACTCATCTTATTTGAAATAATCTTCTCCAATTAGAATTTTCTTGGAGATATTAACTCATATTAATAGTTTTAATTTCTATATTTTTTTTTGTATTAATTATTTTTAAGAAACTCATGTTATTGTATTTTATTTCTATCCGTTTTTTAAGCATTATATGAATATTTAAAGAAATTAAAAAAATGAATTTAATTAATGTTATATACAATCCAGTGACACATATTAATTTAGAAGCTTCAATTACCTCTCCAAAAAATTAGTTCAAATAATGATTATAGTCTTAACATTCCATTTCTTTTATAGATATGCTGCACTTTTTAATGATGGTCCAAGCAAACTCATAATGGCAACTATTCCTTTAGCTACATCTATTATTTTGGAATTGTATATATAATTTAAATGCTTTTTCTTCCTTTTTTTTTTTTAAAACCAAATCCATTTTTATAACAATGTGCTCAGTTAAAGTTATAAAGGACCTTCATTAGCAAGTTTGCCTTTGTCATATCGTAAGTCATTTAAATGCATATCTGCAACAAAAAGTGCGTGCATTTACAAAATCACTTTTTAGGATACATAACCTTGTCAAATCCTTTCATAACATTCACACTATTTTTATCTTTATTTAGTAAATTAAATTTAATTAACTTTAAAGTAACAAAAATCTTAACATATTTGAATTAGCTCAATTAACTTGGTTTCTAATTGAATTTTAATTCTAAACAGTGTAATAATGTACACTTACCTATCAAAAGTATTGGACCAAAAACTTTTTTAAAATTTATTAGCAATTTTCAAAAGCTAATTATGACCCAATGAATAATCTAAATTGCATGAATTTTTTTTATTTGATTCCCCTTATCAATAGCTATCTTTTAATATTTTGTTTATTAAAATTGGATACTTGCTTTCTCAGAAATCTTGTCTTAAATAAAATTAATCAAAAATTTAAATTAAATTATTTTATTGTTATATTAGTTGATCTCAATAAATATTTATCAGAGATATCAAGTATCTTATATGAACTTGTCCTTAAAACAAGAGCTGCAACTTTATTAATATGATAATTAATAATTATTAGTTAAAATCGGGATTTACTTAGTCACGAATAAAAACTGTTGATCATTTTATCATTTAAAAAAAATACTAATAGTTATCATATTTAAAACTTTACTTAATACTAATAAAATATTAAACGTAATACTAAGAAATCTTAAAGATACAAATAATTTGCATCTATTTTAGAGATTTAAGACCTATATCTTAAGAATTGATGGAATAATTAATAATTATTTTTTAAAGCTTAAATGCTAATTACTATATCAATTTTGATAATTTTGATCTGAAACTGTCAAGGTAGACGCACAATTAATTTTACTTAAGACTTTTTTTGGTATTTTGTTAGTATAAAATAAAGTTTTTTTTTTCGGGTTTTATATATGATGACTATTGGTAATTTTCGTTAACAGTGAAATGATTGACAATGGAAAATTGTTAGGAATTTTTTACTAATATATTACATAATTTTAAATGCTAATTATAAGACAATGAATAATTTAAAATGTATACATTTTTTTTAAAAATAATCCCCTGGTTTAGGCCTATCATATAACATATAATTCTTTGTTTGTCAAAATTGGATACTTAGTTGAGTGGTAATTTGGCTTAAATAGAATTTATCAAGTTGAATTAATTATAGTAATTTCACTTGATTTTGATGAATATTTATCACAGATATCAACTATCTTGTATGAACTTTTAGCTTATAATATAGGCTAAAATTTTTATTAAAACCATATTTAATATTTCCTAATAAAAATTAGGATTTTACTTAAACATTTGCATTAATAAATTTGTTTAAGATTTTTTTACAAATTTTCATAAAATTTGCTATAAAAAAATTTATAAAGTCATAAATATCTATTTATAAAATAAATTTTTAAATTTAGTTTCAAATATATTTTTTCCTATGTCTAAAACTCGAGAGCTCACTGAATTTTAGTGCGGGGAAATTATTGATCTTTGGAAAGGTGCAAAATATTGAAATTATTCACAATTATTTTAAAACTACTATCCATAATATTATAGAAAAATATAGGTCTGAAAATCAAACTTCAAGTGCTTCCAGGTTGGGTAGACCACCTAAATTGACAGAAAGACATATTAGACAACTTGTTAAAGTTGTAAATAAAGATCATCAACAATCCTTAGATGAAATAACTGAAAAATTTAATCATTTATCATTAATTTCAATGAGTTCTCTTACTATAAGAAGTACTTTACATAATGAAGGTTTTTATGGTCAAGCTGGCAAATGAAAACCTTTGATATCTGAGGCAAACTATAAAAAAAGATTAGAATTGTGTAATATTAGAAAAAATTGGAACTCTGAATGGAATACAATAATTTGAAGTGATAATATCAATTTTGATGCTCATCCCTGGGTTGGTGTTTTTCACATGAAAAATATGATGTAAATTGCTTAATTCCGACAGTAAAATTAGGAAATCAAGGTGTAATGGTATGGGGATGTTTTACAAAAATAAAATTGGATCATTAGTTTAAGTTTTTGGCAAAATAACGGGTTCTGTATATATGGAAGTCTTGAAAAATATCTATTGCCATTTATTAATGAATTAAATACAAATTTAGAATATGATTTTCAGGATTATAATGTACCTGTTCACCATGCAAAAATAGTTAAACAATGGATTCAAAATAATTTAGTAAAAAATATTCCTTGACCTGCACAGTCACCAGATCTCAATCCAATTGAACATTTATGGGATGTTTTAGAAAGGAAAGTTCGTAAACATAATCCTCATCCAAAAAATCTTACTGAATTAATAACTATATTGGAAGAAGAGTGGTATAAAATTGAACCAGAAATTTTAGAAAATTTAGTAGAAAGTATGCCTAGAAGAGTTCAAGCTGTATTAGATAGTCATGGTAATCCAACAAAATATTAACAACAAAAGTAAAAATTTATATTTTTGAATAAAATTATATAAATTTCAATTAAATTATTAAGTAAAATTTTTAATTATTAAAAATAATATATTAATAAAAATATTTATAATTATTACTAAGTAAAGTTCTAATTTTTATTAGAAAATATTAAATATTGTATTAATAAAAGATGTAGCCTATATTATGAACTACAGATTCGTATAAGTTAGTTGACATCTGTAATAAATATTCATCAAAATCGAATGACATTATGATAATTAACTCAACTTGATATTTTTTATTAATTTTATTTAAACCAAAATTACTACTTAACTAAGTATTCAATTTTGACAAACAAAATATTATATGATAGCCTTAAATCAGAGGATTATTTTAAAAAAAAATTTTATACATTTTAAATTATTGATTATGTTATAATTAGCGTTTTAAATTATGTAATATATTAGTAAAAAATTCCTAACGATTTTGAAATCAAGCCATTGTCAATCATTTCACTGTTTAACGAAAATTACCAATAGCCATCGTATATAAAACTTTATTTTACACTAATAAAATGCCAAAAAAGGTCTTAAATAAAATTAATTGTGCGTCTACTTTAACAGTTTCAGATCAAAATTATCAAAATTGAGAGTAAATAGCATTTAAGCTTTAAAAATAATTATTAATTATTCCATCAATTCTTAAGATATAGATCTTAAGTCTCTACAATAGATACAAATTATTTGTATCTTTAAGATTTCTTAGTATTACATTTAACATTTTATTAGTATTAAGTAAAGTTTTATATGTGATAACTATTGTAATTTTTTTAAATGATAAAATGATCAACAGTAAATTTTGATCTTTTTAGTCGTGACTAAGTAAAGTCCCGAGATTTATTTAATAATTATCAATTATCATACTAATAAAATTTGCAGCTCTTGTTTTAAGCTACAAGTTCATATAAGATACTTGATATCTCTGATAAATATTTATTGAGATCGACTAATATAACAATAAAACAATTTAACTTAAAGTTTTTGATTAATTTTATTTAAGACAAGATTTCTGAACAAGAAAACATCCAATTTTAATTAAGCAATATATTAAAAGATATCTCTTAATCAGGAGAATCAAATAAATAAAATTCATGCAATTTAGATTATTCATTGGGTCATAATTAAAATTTGAAAAATGCTAATAAATTTTTGAAAAAAGTTTTTGGTCCAATACTTTTGATAGGTGAGTGTAATTTAATAATTTATTTTTTTGTTAATAAATTATTCAACCATATAATTTATCATTTAAAATTATTATTTATATGAATATTTCAAAATACTTTTGCAACTCTTTAATTTTTGATTTCATAAATTTTATAAATCTATAACTTCAATAAATGTAGTTTTATTGTTATTAATTAAAATATTTTCATTAAAAATGCTCCCATTGTAATAAAAAACAAATTCATAAATAATATAAAAAAAAATCAACAGACTTCCTGGAGCTAATTTGAGAATAAGGGAAAAAAATAAAACCAGTCCAGTAATTAAAAATTTTAATTCTTTGAAGATCTAAATTCTTTTTAAAGGAAATAAATTTTTTGTTCTATAATCATTTTCAGACTATTCTATAGAGCTATATAGCAAATAAATATCTTTAATATTAGTCTAAGATATATTAGGAATAAATATCTATTTAAAGAATCAAAATTCCTTTTTTAGGTTACATTCAGAATTCATGACTCATATTCCCTTCGAAAAAAAATCTATCATTTGACTTTTATTTTTTTTAGATATTCTTATTAAAAAATTATTATATTTCTTAAATAAGCAATTATTCAATCCTTTTATCCGGGAACTATATTTTTCCTTTGGTTTGCCTAAAGACTTAATCAAGATTTATAATAAAAATCCTAATTAGTTTTAATTAAATATTTTTTCTAAAATAATAAAAGTAGTAAAGAATATCAAATAGCATTGTTTGTGTTGGGCATACAAATAAATATTATCTATAATTGTCATATCCCGCCCAAATTCAAAAAAGAAAATATTGGAAAGATTAACAATGCGATTAGCAAAATTTTATTGTCAATATTTCCTTTTTTGAATTTGGGCGTCATGTAGGATCCAAGTAAATATTTCCCAAACAATATCTTCAATACAAAGGAATTTTCTCCTTCGGACGTATTATTTTTTGAAGCGTGAATGCAACTGCCATCTAAAAATAGAATAAATTATTATTTAACTTAGATTCCATAAAAATAGAAATGAACAAATAAAAAAAAAATCTATGAAATATTTGCACATAATGAATATCAAGAATGCCAACATTTAATAAGTTTAACCCACTCATCAGAATATACATGAAAAAATAATAATCATCATATCTTATATATATTTTTTAAGAAATTTACTTGTTGTTTAATCTTTCACCAGCTCAAAAACATCTAAGGTTTTCTAAATTCTCCGTTCGATTTCCATAATTTCCATCCCATTTGCCAGCATGTACAAACTAGAAACAACAGAAATTGGTAAAATAAGAGTATAGATTAATAAATTTTAAAATTTTAAAATTTTTCCATTAGAAGATTCAAGAAAAAGAAATTTAGTGCCATAATTTTAATAATATTCCTTAGATAATGATAACGTTTCGTTTTTTTTTAAAAGATTACTGGACCATGGTCATGTTATTTGATATTTTGTACTGTGCATGTGCATTTAATATAATATAACCATCTTTGTCAAAGGTGCAAAAAAATAGTCATAGGTGTCTCAAAAACAATACCTTTACCAATCAGATCAATATGAATCCCTGCCGAACATACTCGTCTTAAAAAGTTTCTATATATTAATTTAATATATACAATTATTTTATCAAATAATTTAGCTTAGGACTTAAACAGTTTCCGTTTTCCTAGTGAAAAATAATATTTTAATTCTCAAATCGAATAATGATTTAACTAATGTTCTGCTTAATTTTAATGCATCCGAATTCTAAATTATGATCATATGTTTGTAATACGAATAAAAATATAGAAATGTCCTTGTTTCTAAAAAAAACCTACATATAAAAGTGTGGTGCAACCGATTCACCTTTTTGTGTTGTGCATCCGATTTTGTTGGCAATAGAGCTTTTTATTTATCAAATTTAAATGGTTTCGTTTAGTCATATAATTTTTTGTATTGCTTTATTGATTAATCTAATTTCGTGTTATGATGAATATTTTGTACCTGAAAATCGGATTGCCCATAATAGTGTAATAGTTCGTGAACGACTTTTAATATTTGGTGGATGGAGATATTCAACAAATTCAACAAATTCAACAAATTCAACAAATGCAACTAAAATATACTCAACTTCTGAAATGTTTTCTTTAGATTTGACAACAATATTTAATCAAAATACACGATGGGAGTTAGTCTTAGGAAATCTTCCAGTATATGAGTATCTTTCAACTGCATTAGTTAGTACACTAGATAATGATACAATTTATCTAATTGGAGGCTTCATGACAAATATTACTACCGGGGAATATGATTATTCAAATTTAGTATATATGTATAATTATTCATCTACTAAATGGTCTCCTGTAAAAGTCAATAATGTTAAACCCAGACAGGAAATAACGGGAGTAATTGATGATAAAGGGGCTATCTATTTTTTTGGTGGGAATAATGTAACTAATTATAATTATATGGAACCAGAAGGAAGACTTTTTAATGATATGCAAATATTTAATGTTTCCTCAACAGTTTGGTCAAAATTAAATATATTTGAAAATCTTCCTTTACCATGCAGTGCATATACAGCTAATCTTTTGACGAATGGAATTATTGTTTATCTTGGAGGATATGAGACAGATGATTCAGGAAATTTCACAGGTTTTTCGAATTTGACTCTTTCAAGCATGAATATTGTGAGTGATAAATGATAAGCTATATTTGTTTAGTAAATTTTATTATTAATAATTTATTTATTTTATTTCCAAATAATCAAATAGATTAAACTCTTTGATACAAAAAAATTAGAGTGGTCACAAATGGTATGTATCTATTTATTCATACTAGTATAAATTAATATTATGATCTAATAATTTTTTAATTTAAGAATGTTACTGGAAGAAATACTATAGAACCAAGAATATATCATTCTTCTGTATTATGTAAGTATCATAAATTGTAAGGTTACTAAATGCAATAATTAAGAATCTTTAAGATTATTATCAATAACAAAATATTTTATACAGCTCCAGATGGGTATATTATTTTATTTGGAGGCGTTGGAGCATATAATGAGGCAGTTCTTCCAAAACTTGCATTATTAGATACAACAAAAGATATTTATGAATGGACAATTCCATCATCATATTCACCCCCTCCACTCCTATTTGGACATTCTGCAAATATATATGAAAATTATATGATAGTTACATTCGGTAAGTAAAATTTATTAATATAATTTCTCATTCAATATAAACAATTATTTTATTATTAAATTTATGTTCTTAGGATTTGATAAGGATAATTTAGTTATGAATTCTCAAATATATCTTTTTCATATATATGAGTACACGTGGGATGCTATATATTTTCCCAAGTCCCAAACACATTATATACCTAATGAGGAAGACACATTCTCAGACAACCCAACTTCAGTAGCTTTAGGTCCAGGACTTTTAGTAGGAGTATTTGTTCTTCTTACTTTGGTTTTAATGGGAATTTTCTTTCTCAAGAAATACAAAAAAAAAAGAGCTACTCACCCTATTTGAAATAGCTGGATAATCTACTTCCTCAAATTTGATTTTTCTAGGAGATGTTATGTCAACTCGTATTAATAGTTTTAATTCTGTATTAGTTATTTCTAAGAAATTTACGTTATTGATTTTCATTTTATTTGATATGTTTTTTAAGCATTGTGTGAGAATTTAAAGAAAATAAAGAAATTGAATTTAACTAATGTCATCTCTCCAAAAATTAATAATGATGATAATCCATTTCTTTTATCTAATATGTGGAGCCTTTTAATGATGCCCCAATCAAACCCACGATGAAACCGACGTTTTTCTTGTCGTAGATATGCATTTAAATGACTTATGTGTTGTGAAAAAGGCAAACTTGTTACTTTATAGCCCATTTTTGCGTTTAAAAAATGAAGGAGCGCATCTAAATTATATGTAAAATCTCCAAAAAAAGACGTAACTAATAGACAATATTACAAAATTAACTTTATTAGGATATGTAGGTCCTCAATCTTTTAAATATCCTTAGAAAATCCTTTCATAGCATTCACAAGTCTTAGATAATGAGAACATTATACGCATGATAAAGATCAGTCGATGGTTCATTATTTGAAAAGAGTGATATTGATTTGATTTTGACCAATTTATTGTTTTTACAAAATCACTGGAAAAATAACTTGAACATTGAATGTTAATAAGATGGTTAAAAACCTTTATTAAAATATGTAAATATAAAAACGTTAGATAATTAACTATAATTCGGGAGATCATTATACACAATAAACTTTATAAATAAATTTAGTTGTTAAATTAAATCATAAAAACGCTTTTTTTTTATTAGTTTCATTGATTTTATATATTTGATTAGTTAATTGGTTTTGCCACAAAATTAGCTGCAAATACTTAATTAATTCATAACCAATTAATTGATTATAGAATTTTATAGTACTAATTAGGCCAGTAAATATATGATATATGCAAATACCATATGCCTTATGTATTTAATCACTCTTATTTTTAATATAGTTTGTTTCTGTATGATTTTAAATTTATATCTTCAATATCCTTTTCAATATTAATAATTTATACTGGAAAATATCTTGTGATGTTCTTTAATAAACATTCAAGACAGAAAAGAATTGGCAATATTTCTACATATATTTGTTCTTTAAATTGATCAATCAATTATAATTTTGAAAATACCAATTTCCATGCCTTCTCGTAATAATATGATTAGAAATAAAATATTTAATAAATAAATGACATTATGCTTGTCAAGATTAATGGGCATCATCAAAGTATGTTCTTTATACAAAAGTATAAAGAAAGAGTTTTCAAATAATGTCAGTTTTTCAAATGCGGAAAAAATTATTATTCAGGTTAAATAATTTCAGTTACTAATTCTTCAGGCATATCTATCCATTCTGCTTTTTAGACATTACAAAGTCCCCTTGGCTAAATATTTTATATCTTTCAATTTACTATAATCTATCCATCTCCAAATTTCTCATTCTTTTGCATTTTCATCTCAATTTTATAATTATCACTGTCCATTTTGACAAATAGCTCATTTCAATAAGTTTACAATTTAGACATATATTTTTATATACAGTGCGTTTTGGACAAGATTTACATGATGAAAATCAATTATCTAATTTTTTTTCTTTGTACCGTTTATTGAACTTCGGTACCATTTTTTTTTTTAATAAATAACTAAAAAATGAGCGACCCTCAAGATGTACATGCCAAAGCCATCCAACAATTATGAAACAGAGGAATCCAAACTGCAAAAGAAATACAAAGACGAACGGGTCATCCTAGAGCCACAATATATTACAATATTTCTAAGTTAAAAAAAAACTGGTAGTATTAGTCACCGAAATCGTAGTGGTCGCCCCCGAAAAATCTCTTCCCGAAGCTCCAAGTTTT